ATGCCAAATGCTCTCCGACTGTGTGCGCAAACATATTGGCCAACGCTCTGTACGCAACCAATTGGTTAGGAGTCGAGTTGGCATCAGTTCCGCACACAAGCAAAGTGTCAATCAATCGCAACGAGTCTTTAGAGGCGCACAAATCTTCGTTTATTTGTGGCAATAATAGACTTAAACGAATCAAATCCAGTGCCGGAAATATTTTATCTAAAAACAGACAAAAACTCTTTGAATTAGAAACCATTTAATATATCTCTATAACGACATACTCTTAGGCCACGCAAGCATTATCCGAATGAGTCTCAACTGTTGCGGCTGTACTTCAAGTGTAAAATCTGACAGTTTTAATAGCAATTCAATATCTTTGTTCTCGAGTTTCAGTTCCGGTGGTAAGTCTTGACTGAATTCCTTCAACTTCTTGGCGATGCCTTCAATGCTATGCGACTCAAACAACAGATGAGTCTTTTGTGGATAATAAGCATTCGCCACAACAGTCGGTTCGGATGTGTCCATCGGTTGAGACAATCCGTTCGGTTGAGTCGAATAACTGGAACCACCGGTAAAAGGATCCAAATTTTGTCCGCCAGAGAATTGGCCCGAATTCCGATCCGAATTTTTCGTAATGAAATTCACGATTTCATCCAAATATGTTTGACTCAAATTGTGTTTATGAATGAAATCCTGCGCTACAGTCCACGGATCTTGTGTTAGATTATAGGGCAGTTTGAGCTGAGGCTTCCCTTCCTCTACATCTATGGAGAAGACGTAATCGTATTCCTAATGTATGATAAGAAACACAACCCATTGAAAGCACACCCAAATGAGGAGCAAAAATGCTTACCACTCCGTCATGAAGTTGCCGTTTGGATGCATCGTTGGCGGGGCCGGGAGTGCCCACCACTTCGCCGATCTTAACCCATTCAAACTTCTTGGCGTCCCAGTTATGAACTGTCACTTTGTTGCCGTCCTTAACCATCTTCGTCTGTCCGTCTCTCTTTCCCGGCGCCAGCAGTGCCTCAGGAGTGGGCAAATCATTCACTTTCATGTCTCCGATTTCGGCCAAAGGAACCGTCGCTTTAGCCAACTCTTCCTCTAATTCTTTCAATTTTTCAGGCTTTGCCGCCAAAGACTCGTCGCGCGTATAGATGTATAGCTTTCCTGTTGAGGAGCCGATCACTAAATCACTGTTTGAAAGTCTGGTGAGTGACCAAAGAGTGGTCTCCGGGAGTCGAATGGTCTGAACTGAATAAATGGATTCCGTATTATTCCAAATCCTGACCGTTCGGTCTTCACCACAGGTCGCAAACTCGTGGCCAGAGATTATGTTCGCAACCGAATAGATATAGTTCTCGTGTCCGACAAACTCTCTGATTGTCTCTCCCTTTAGATTCCACTCCCGAATGGAGGCGTCGTTAGAACACGAGAGGAAATTCGTGTCCGATATGACAGCAATTCCTCGAATGCAGTCATTGTGTCCTCTCATTGTTTCCACGCATTCAATCTTCGTCTCAAACTTCCATAGTTTAAGTGTCTTATCGGCCGAACCGGTGATCACATACTCGCCTATAAAACCGGTCGCCCAAACGGACCCCTCGTGTCCAACGAGAACCGCTTTACACTTGTTATCACTCCATACACGACACGACAGATCCCAAGAACCGCTCGCTATAAGAGATTTGTCATTACTCGCAGTCAAAGCGCAAACTTATGACAAAAGTAATGATAAAATGGTTATAATAAATGGTACCGAAGAGGTGTCAACGAATGCAATTGTAATACCAGTTCCCGAGTGATCCATAAGCCTATGGAGCGGTTCCGAGTGTTCCAGAGAATAGCAATAGATGTTTGAGTCATTACTTCCGACATAAATGAGTGTTTCTGTGGCCGAATGGAGACAACAAACGCTTGAGATGTAGTTCTGGGCGCCCAACAGGTTCTGCACTTCTGTAAAGTCATTGCTTTTGCTGTCAATGCAATCGTAAGATAATTGTTAACAATAATGGTGTCAATCAATGTCTTTCAATGGTAGTACCCATTGGTCTGATAGGCTTTGCAGGTCTTGTCGCGGGAACCGGTGACAAAGCCACCGCCCGGAAGGGCGCAGACACACCGGATGTCCGCGTCGTGACACTGCATCACAGCTCGCAAAACGTACGCTTCTGTCATCTCTTGGGATCCGTTGGTTAGACACCTAATGTGTGGCCAACTCTTCGCCGATTCAAACAAATCGCTGATTCAATGCAATGAATGAGCACTTTATGCATACCTTTACAGCAATTACGACAAACTCTACAACAAAACACTTTATTGCAGTCAATATATTCA